CCCATAATAGGCCCACTTTAATATCATCCTGGCATTGTGCTCGCTCGTAATGTGTGATGACGGAATAACACTCTGCCACAGGCACCTGCTCAAAAACTAAATCACAATTAAGTGCACATTAATGAAAGTCAATTTAGTCCAACAAAATTATTCAAAAGAACAATTACCAACATGACTTTCAAACCTGTTTAATTAAACTACCATCAGTAGTTTAATTAAACAGGCATTAAAACAGCGAGAAGAGTAGGTGGAGAAACAAATGAGCTTGCAATACTGACAGAGAAAGAGTGTTATTAAAACTCACGCCCACTTAAAGCGAGTGTCAAAGAGGAAGCTCTGCTCCCACTCAAGCTCATTGTGTTTCATTGTATGTGCATGGGGGTGGGGGACAGAGCAGACACTGTTATCAAACCAGTTATTGTTTTTTCACAATGATTTTATTCAGCACAAACATTGCTCCTGGAGATTATAATTCAGGTCCAATGGAATATTGTAATGGTAAATTTCTGAGTCGACAGGAATTAAGTGTGTATTGACTATCTGTATTTTCAAGAAATTTAAAGATGAAACGCCTTGTCTAAATGTCTAACAAGATTTTTTTTCTACAAATGAAAAAAAAGTATTAGTTGTTTTGCTGAAAATATCTCAAGACCATTTTCTCTTTTCCAGTCTGGAATCCTGAAATATGTTCCCAAAGAAGATTCCCTTAAATTCAAAACTTGCCTGACCTAACTTCAGGACCTGTACTAGTTTAACAAGTACTAATGACCTTCATGTTCAAAGTATGTTGTCTTTAAATACAATAAATAAACAAGGCATTCATTGGCTGTAAATTACAAACTTCAGTGTCAGCTTTACTTTGTAGAGTATTGTAAACTGGTAGAAAAATGTCACGGTTCAGTGTCCTTTTGTAACACAAACTGTAAGGTTGACAAAACCATGACTTAGGCAAACAACTACCGGTACTCCCACAAACTGCAGACTTTACATCACAGTACAGAACAAACAAATGTTGATGAGGGCGTTCATTCTATTTTTAGTTACCTGTATAATCGCCCTCTCTGTTCTGTGGAAAGAGGATGCTGAATCAACACAACTGACCTGTAATCATCATCTGGGCGTCAGTTTTTTACTGAGGCACACGAGCTCTGACACAAGTTAAACTACATGAAGTACTGAAACTGTCAAACTGAGTCCAACGAGCCAGTGATATGTTGACAATACCACCATGTTAAACTGTCCTTTAAAAGTTCAGAAAGGTCAACATGTCTGATGCCAGGTGGTCAATGAACACATGAGCACTTTGCAGATTAGCAGGATATGTGGAGGTTGAGTTAGAGTGTTTGGTGGTAATAATGATAACTTTACTGTCTGACTGCAGCTTGAGGGACATCTAGATTTTAATATTGTGTRGATAGATTTGTACATAATGAGATTTGCTAAACTATTCCTGTTTATACTCACTAGTCATCTCTTGTCTTGATGACAACTCTGTCGTTTTCTTTTTGGAGACATTCCAATCCAATATGGTCGCCATAGCTTATTGACAGTCAACAAAATGGCTATATCTCAGTTGCAGATGTTGAGCATAAATCTACAGTGGTGGTAGCCAAGAGTCATTTTCAACACACAGTCTGAGCACTTACACATTTTGCAAGATGTCACAATATGGCAAGACATTACATCCAATAGCTTAACAAAATTTAACAAACATGGCTACACTTCCTTTATTCCTTATTGTAAGATGATCTCAGGGCTTGCTTACAGTGTGTTTTTAGAGTAAAACCTCGGCTTTTCTGCTGCTTTTTGGCCATTTATTACCACAACAACAGCTCTCATTATTTCTAAAACCGAAGGTTCCTTAGTCTAGCCTCAGAGTGGAAATTTTCGGGGGAACACCACGCAGATGTGTGAAATCCTCCGCAGGTGTAAAATCGTTATAAATTTGGACTGTGGGCTAAAGAGGTTGATGCAAATGGACCAAATGGACCAGCAAATTTTAAGGGTGATATTGTTTGATCATTTTTAGGTTCAAAAAATGCAGAACTATCCCAGTACAAAGTACAAGTTTTTATTGTTTAATTAACTATATATTTTGTTTCTAATTCACTTCCATTTTAGAAAGGATCACACTCTTTTGTCAACTTTAACTTTATCAAAATGTAGACTTTTGAGTAAATCATGAAATTTGGCTAAATATAGCAAGCATTTTCAAAGAAAAAATATTGCTTTTGATATGATTAATTATGGATGGAAACTGGACTTCTTTAAGCAAACACAGAGTGGGCAATATATTTGCACAAATCCAGTTTTTTGGTGTGGACGTTCACATTATATTTTAAATGTGACCTTCATCAGACTCCAGTGTGAACTCTCCACGGCCCTGATGCAACCCACATTTTCAGAAGATGATGTCACTTTCAGTTCGCTGTTACAGAAGTAAATATGGATGCAAAATGGTAGCGTGTCGATTCGAAAGTTGTTGTGCATTCAGAGCCAATTAAATAATTCACTGCTGTGCTCGTTTAGCTCACTGTTTATATTTGACCTTGCCTTTTGCCTGGATGCTCCGGAGCAGCTTCGTATTTATGGAACGACATGAAGTGCTGGAGGTACCTAAAGTATCGTTACTATCAATATGGTCTGACACCAATGTTACTATCATATATCATATGTTTTTGTGGATTTCTGTGAAATTAAAACAACAAAGACAAAACAACTGGACTTCTGTTCTGTAACTGAAGATGTGTTGAGCTACAAGATTTAAACTATATGAGGTTGGTATTAATATTCTAAATACTTGTATCGATCCACTCACCCCCACTTCTCTGGCTATGTTCACACTGCAGGCCTTAATGCTCAATTCTAATCTTTTTGAAAAAATTTAAATCTTTTGGTGTGAACGTTCATATTACATTTTAAATGCGACCTCCATCAGACTCCTGTGTGAATGCTACACAGCGCTGATGTGACTCAGCGAGCTTGTTTGTCTACAGAGCTAGCTAGCATGGATGCTACTTTTAGCACRTCGAGTATGAAGTTGTTGTTTAATCAGAGCCGGTTAAATAATTATCTGACATGCTTCTTTAGTTCAGTGTTTATATCTGAACTTGCCTCTGACCGGGATGCTCCGGTGAAGCTTTTTATTTTTGAACAAAACAACGAGCTGGAAATAAAGTATCAACCGAGTAACTTTAGGATCGATACGCTCTGCGACCAAGGCTGGACGTCGTTATTATCATACTATCTACGTGGAAAATGAAAAGTAAAAAGATGAAGCAACTGGACTTGTGTTTTGGAGCTGTAAACACATGGAACTACAGATTTAAACAGCGAGACTTGAGGTTAGTGTCTTATCGATCCTTCACCCCCTCCTCCTGATGAAAAAGTCAGATGAATGTGACATGAGCGTTCACACTGCAGTCACTTTGAAAACATCAGATATATATCCGATTTAAAACCACATACTGAAACAGCCTGGGTCGGATTTGAAAAAATTGGATTTGCCGTGTTCAGACTGTTATGAAAAAAAAATCAGATATGGGCGCATGGGACAAAAAAAAGTTGGATTTGGGTTGCATTTGCCTGCTGTGTAAACGTGTGACTGCCAGCTGTACACTTTTTCATGCTTCAACTCTTTTAGGACGGTATATCCATGGTTTTATGGGTCTGGAAAATCTTTGAAAAAAACTTGCATGTGGGGTTCAAATTCATGGCAAAAAAAAAAAAATCACTTCAAGAGTCTACAGCCAGGCCACACAAGCCCTTTTTAGTGAATGTTTTCAAACAAGAATTACTCATTTAGTTTTGTTACCCAAGAATAAACTAAAACGCACTTTTCAAGCACAAGAAAACAATAGACACAACAAATTAAAAGGAAATTAATAATTTTCTTTTGTTGGGCTAAATGTTTGTGAGGTTTTTTATGTTTTGGATCTACAACAAATTAAAGCTCTAACCTACAAAGCTTATGCTTCGATGCAAAAAAAATAATTGTGGCCCCATCATTACTTTCAGCTGAACCATTATGACTTGGGTGTCAAAACCTTTGAATACCACTGTTTTAAATCAAGCCATAAAAAGGGACAGGAACATTGGCAGACGCCAACTACAAAGTTTATTAAATTTAAATAAAAGCATGCACCAATGAATTTGGCAAGAGAAAAAAAAGAAGTCCATAAAATATATCAGTGGTGGATAATTTCCAAATCCATTGCATGATTAAAAAAGAAATAATTTCTTAACATCTTACATCCTCTTTAGCCAAGTGAGAACCATTCATCAAGAGGCGGGCATGTCAGCTTAAAATTTGCAAACAGAAGTGATAACTTTGAAATGTTTCAAAACCTGCTTATAGATTTAAAATATTCTCCTTAGAGTATGACTGAAGACTTTTTTTAAAGCTTTTAGCTAAATAACATTACTTGATGTGCGCTTCACTTGAAGTGAAGTGAAGTTGTACATTACAAAACATTGCTGAAAATTGAAGGTCTCAAAAAAGTCTTCAGTTTTAAAAGCATATTTATGAATCAATTTGAGATGGTTTTGACAAAGAAGTTGTTGCTAAAAACTTCTTCTCAATGTATAAAGAAATAATTTCAGACCTTCTCTTTTAATAGGTATCCAGGTTCATGTAGCACTACAATGATTTGAGTTGTTTCACACACAACTTCAGTAACTATAAACCAAATGAAATGACTGATATTGCCTCTAAGAGAGAACAGAGTAAATGTATGTGTTGCAAAATTAATATTAATTTGAACTAACAAAGCCTTACAATGTTTTATTTAGGTTTATGAAAAGCTGTTCCATCACAATGAAAACAGAAAGTTCTACATATCAGAGCCATGATTTCAAGTAATTCCTTCAAACAAGATAATAATACCTAAGGTTTCAAGATGAAAGCTTATAGTGCTTTTAAGCCGAGACAAAGGGTAAAATAAAATAAAAATGCTTGGATGTGCAAATATTTCAAATGTTGTAGATATAAGCCGACTTACCAAAGTTTTCTCGGGCTCCTGTTGGGACTCAGATGAGGACTCCATTGTTGTATGAGTCAGGCCTGCCCACGCTGCTCTGATGACCGCATGCCTGTCATGTGGAAGAAGTAAGTGAGTGAAGTGAAGTTTATTTATGTGTTACCATTCCAAACTAAAAAAAAAAAATCACAAAGTGCATTACAAAACAAACGGAAAACTCCTGGGTTGATAACTCAATTGCCAGCTGTTGGGTCAAAGGTTGGGTTGGTTTGGCCAAACATTGGATTAAAAAGTTAGATCCAGTTGTTGGATTAGAAATGACCCGTGTCGTTCTTCAAAGACCACCATTTTAAGCCAAAATGTGAYCAAACAAAACCCAACTGGTCTGATTTGGGGTTGTCTAAGAAAGCAGGTTTTATGTTGTTCTTTTTAAATCAACCTTTCATCAGCTTCAACTAAACAAATTAATTATTTTAGCCTTATTAGAGCAAAACACCCAAGCTGTCATATTGTGAAGTTTGCAGATGCCACAGCTGTGGTCGATTGCATCACCAATAATGATGAGTCTACAGTCAGGAGGTGGAACATCTGGAGTATTGGTGTAGTGATAACAACCTCTTCATTAATGTGAAGATGACAAAAGAGATGATCTTGGACTTCAGGAGGAGCAGACCCCCCCCCCCCCCCTCCTGCTCCCAGCACATCAGAGGGTCTGCAGTGGAAGTGGTCCACAGCTTCAGGTATCTGGGAGTTCGCCTGAATAATGACCTCACATGTAGGTGACTTAATGCAGTATGTTTGGTTAAGCTGAAAAACAACACTGCTAAGACATTTTCACAGGCTTAGCTCAATCCAAATCTGGCCCAGAGCTTGGTTACAAACTTGAGTGTTTTTAACCTAAGAGTTTTTAGTTTGTAAAACAAAACAGAACAAAATAGAATGCAGTCAAAGCAACAATACACGTAAAATATTGTAAAGTATCTATTTGCTGTATTTTCAAAAGATTCAAAACCATTACACACCAGCCACCTGGATGACTGTCAAGTGACCATGACTGGTGGAAAAAACACCCAAGTTTGTAAAATTTAATTAAATAGTCCAATAATATGTCAAAATACAGCAAATATATCGCATGTTTGTGAAATTGTGCTGTCAGGAGTGATCATCAGACATTTGATGTTAAAGTGTAACTGAAGAAAGTTATTTTAACAAATTTTAAGTTTGTGATRCAGTAAGCAATATCTGACAATTTAAAAAGCCTAAAGTCTTTAAAAAAAAGGCAGAACAGCTGGATGTCATCTGCATAAGTGTGGTCAGACATGTTCCTAATTTATTAATGATCTGACCAAGGGCAGGGGTAGACAAGGAAATTTTCCAGGTGGTCCAGCAGACAACTTGCTAAGAAAATCTGGTTGTCTGCCAAAAGTTTTGGTTGTCCATTACAAAAATGCAAAAAAAGCTCAGGAAATTTTTAATTCGGACCAGCTAAAGGCCGTTTTGCTGACCCCTGAAAAGGAAGTACAATATAAAACAAACGAACAAAAATAAATAAATAAAATAAACTGGCCTACAAACAAAACCCTGTGGTACTCCACAGGACATGACGGTAGTATCTGACATGATCAGACTGAAACATTCTAAATTTTCCATGATACATCAGCTTTGCAGTATTTTCTTCTACAAAACTATAAATAAATAAATAAATAAATAAATAAATAAATAAATAAATAAATAAATAAATATCTGTTTTGACTCAAATTATTTTTGGAGTACTTTGGTATTGTTTGAAAATTTCCACGAGTAACGCTTCCCAAGTTTAGTCTCATATATTTTGAGCTAGTTTGGAAGCACCTTTATTGTGGAATTGTGCAAATATGTTCAAAAGGTCTTTATGTAAGATGGCTTGTTTTTATGATTGAGTCTTCAAATTTATTCTTGCACAGCCAACAAGTTTTAAAACAAATAGGAATCTTATTTGTTGACACTAACACTAAAAAACTGCAGACCATTCTTTACAACCATTTTAAGATACCTTCCAGATACCAGACCGTTTCAAAACCACCGTTTTTATTTCAGGCAGAGGAGGAGGAGGTTGCCTGTCAGCTGCCTTCCCTGGGGAGTCCTGAAAAATTCATTCAATTTATTTTTTCCTGTTTGCCTTCATATCGTTTCCCCTGCAGAATTATTGGTCCATAACAGTTTTTAACCTTTTTCTACCCAGGACAGGGTTGTAGTTCRTGCCAATTAGCTGCTTCAATGGGTCAGAAACGAAATGGAAGAAACTGCTTTAGCTTCCTTGATAAAATGTGACTTTTTTTCTTTACTTTGAATAGAAAGAAATCTGAAAAAAATATTTTGTTTTCAAACAACTCCTTGCTGATTCAAAATTATTAGAACAGCCAGACATGAAAGCAGCAGTTACTTTATATTAAAAGAAAAATACTGTCCGCATGAAGTCCTAAAAATATGACTGACTGATATCCTGAATGTAGAGCACACAATATCACATAATAAAAGAAACCCCACTGGTGATTCAAAAATTACTTCATCATTGAGGGACGCAAACAGAAACACAACAACCCCATGGCACTAGGGCTGGGTGGTATGACCTCAAATTTATATCACGGTATAAAATGAACCCCTTCACGGTAATGGTATATATCGCTGTAGAAAATTATCATAAAAAGTTAAGATAATGTAATTTTTAGAGCATTTTTTTCCAGAAAACTGTAATTTTAATTAAACCCAACATTTTTGCTTTAATATCAACCTGCCAAACAATGAGCATCTGCCTGCTGAACTTATCAGCTGCTGCTCTGCTGCGCGCTCATCTTCATCATCTTCTTCATCAGAGCAGAAGCCGACTTTACATTAGCAAGATGGATTTACAACTGAATGAAAGTCCATGTCTGTTTTTAAATAATCTCTGTGGGTAACAATACATTAAAAACATTTTTTCTCCAACAATTTGGATGTGAAAAACTACAGTTGTTAAAGCTTCGCTCTGTGCGACGTGCAGCAGGAGGGAGGAGGGAGGGAGGAAATGACCCCGCAACACGATGTAACTTTTCTACAGCGGGAGGGGAAATTTTGAGGATTTATTCTCTCTATACGTGTTTTAAAACGCTAGAATTTCTTCATTATATTTCGAACTCCTGCTCATTGTCTCTGCACTCGCAGCCCTGTTGACACAGGTGCGATGACGTAATGACGATAGGGCGATAAATTTCTACCGTAGGCCAACTTCACACCGTTTCTACCATCTACCGCATATACCGCGCAGCCCTACATGGCTCAGAAACCTGTTTGTTTTCTGTTGCTACAAAATGGTGTTGCTACAATCAGAAATTAAAGTTTTGAAGAATGGAGAGAACAATATATTTCAGGATGGCAGCCATTATTTTTAAGACCAGAGTCCTGCCTTCCATTAGCAGCACCCGAACATAGCATGCCAGCCTCTGCCTACGGGTGGTTTTATACTTCCAGTTTCACATCTAGTTCACGTTGTTATAGACAAAAATTGCATCGCTTCCATCTGTTATCACTAGGGTTGGGCAATATTGGCAAAAAATCTAATCACGATTAATTGTGGTATAGCCGATAACGATTAATTTGACAATTAATCACCTGGAGTCCCTGGACACACTTATGTCCTGGTCACATGACCAATTTAGTGGGAAAGATTTGCTCTTCGTAAAAATCTGTTTCAAATTGTGTCAAAATTACAGACTTCAGGCTATACATCTAATTTTAAATTGTGTTGATAGATAAATAAATTGCAGAACTTTTTTAAAATGTTCGTCATATTTGAAGCGGAGAGGAGCACCGAGCGGACTGACTGGAGAAAACTCCAGTCAGTCYGCCTGGTGGCATTAATCATATTAATCGTCAAGTGCCAAATAATAATCGATTAATGTTTTTTTGACARTTAATCGCACACGATATGATTATGCCCAACCCTAGTTAWCATCACCCACTGACATCTGGTCTTGTACATGGCCTCCAGTCTGAACTGTGCCAGGCAAGCTAAGTGGCRGGAATTGTGTGATGTTGCTTGTGTCAAAATGGTCTCTCAAAGTACCTAGGTCAACATAATTGCCATTATGGTCTGGCAGAGCATGCTTCTTCACTTCTAGTGAAGTATAAATCCATCTTAAAAAGCAAGAGGGCTCAAAGGAGATCACACATGATCACATTAGATTCGGACACTGGATATTTTAGCTTACAGCAATGCAGCAAAAAACAAGCCTCAACTGCACACAGGTCTATTTTTGTTTTGGACAACTCGATCACAGCTCGAGGTTGTCCGACGAATGACCAAATGAGATTATTCAAAATAAAAACAGTCATTAGTGGCAGTGCGCTATTGATATGTTAATGATACTTGCTGCTCAATATCATTCAAACAAAAGAAATTAATTAACTCACCCACTATGAGTCATTATGTTTAAATATTAAATTGTTGCCCCCTTWACAAATGTGTGGCATGAAATTCTGGAAATTACCAAAGCCTTAAAAAGTCCAGAATGTGGGCACTTATTGTTAGATATATCAACATTTWATTCCCCTGCTTTTCACTTTTACTTTTGAACTCTCAATATCAATTTAATGCAGGGATGGACAASGTTTTCAGTGTTAATTTGCTTTAACTAATTCAGCTTAAGGACCACAAACTGAACTGGAAATMAATTATTTCAGGCAGAAATGCTACAGCTTTCCTTCTTTAATGTAATGAGAATGGGTCTGTAGCACGTTTAGTCAAAAATTGTTTCCTTGAGCATTCTCTCAAGGGAAAATCTGACATACTGACTTTGATCCACCACCTGTGCTAAGTTATTTAAATGTTAGCTAAGGCTTTGGACATTGACTGGATCATTGCAACATCTTGATTCTTTTCTTTATGATTTRTTCTGTTGAAGATTTGTTGCAGTGTTAGGGATCATTGTTCTGTTTCATCATGCCTCAGTTCACTACTGAAGAAGAGGTGCCAGTCTGTAAGCAACAGACGAAGACGTAGAGAGTATATCAAAGAGCGATAAAGGCGGAACAGAAAGACGGTCACGTCGAAGACTTAAACTTCCAAAGGTTAGCTACATTTTATTGAAAATAAAC